AGTGTTTATTCTAATGAAGTGGTTAACTGGTGTCTATTCCAATGTAGTGGTTATTTAGTGTTTATTCTAATGTAGTGGTTAATTAGCATTTATTCTTAAGTAGTTGGTAATTATAGTGTGCTTGTGAGAGGGCAGTAAATAGTTCTGAAGTAGACTCAGGTGTTTTTATGTTAGTGTTGCTGGTCGTGTGTTCCACTGTTTGATGAAGACTATGCCCATCAAGTTAGTTGTGTGTAAAAGCTGAAAAACTAAAACAATTGGCTGTCATTTTAAAAAAATTGATATTTCAGTTACTGTGCTGTCAGACAGGTATTATTATTATTATTATCATTATGATGATGATGATGATGATGGTGATGATGATGATGATGATTATTATTATTATTATTATCTTGTTTAGTATTTAAGCAGAATTAGTGTCATATCTGTTTGCTTTATGTTCATGTGTGTAATGCCGATGAAAACAAAAGTGTCAGGTTTAATAGGGCTCTCAGTATGCATCTGCAGTTAGTCTGAATGGGTTTCCGATATAGAGATTATTTCACAAGCATATGTGTCATACTGATTTTATGGAACAAGTGTCAGATTTCTTGTATTACCCGAGCGAGAGTAATGATTTCTTTTATTTCCCATTATTTCTTTATCCTTGATCTTGATCAGTGCATTTTTTTCTAAAGGTGAGCTCATCCCTTTCAGAAAAAAATGCACTGATCAAGGCTACTGTCTTAGAAATTGTCAAATGTCAACAATCTTCATCTATGACATCGTTTCTAGTTTGACGTCATTCCACCCTTTCATGACAATAACATTTGAATGATGTCAACAATGCCGTCCAAATGACGTAAACAACACGCTGGTGTGCGTGAAGTGATATTTGCACTGGTGCACAAACAATTTTCATGAACTCGACTTGTTCTGAGCCTATGGGTAATAAATATATTTCCATGTGTGTGCGCCAGTGGATGTTCAATTGTATTTGCTTGTGGGTACTCCAGTGTAGCTGGTTACTTAATGTGTGTAGAAACACTGAAGGACGATATGACAGTTTATGGTCCCGGTGTGGCTGTGCATGTGTTGGAGTGGTGATGAGATTGTGGTCTGTCTTCACTGCGAGGCTCTATGGATGGCGATATCGGTGGAAATCATCACTGTTTATTGATATGGAGATCAATGCTGGACTGGAGATTGTATAATAATTCATTTGTAGAATCCGTTTCCGGGGCAGAATATATCCCCATTACTGGTGTTTGTTGTAAGGGTAGTCAAGATTGTGGATTGGGGTATGACCTGGTTAACTGTGTGTCCTTTTGCCTTGGTTGTTGCTCATGCTATCAATCACTATTTTGCTTGGCTATGACTTGATTCATTCCTGGTTGACTTGAGATATATATCTATATTTTCAGGATTTTTCGGGCCTAATATATAGTCTATGACATTTTTTATTACACAAAATATTTCTTTCCTCTAAAATTAAAACAAATAATCTTCCTGAAATAAATTTCCTGGTATTAATTTGTGGAATAGAGCTGGCTGGACTTGCTTTTATGTATATCCAGATTGGGTTTGTTTTCATAAACACATGTATTCCACAGTCATGCTGTAGGACTAGCTTCCTCCCACATCAAGCTCATATGCCGTGATAGAACACAAATACTCTTCAAAGCAGCATTACACCTCTCACTCACTCACTCACTCACTCACTCACTCACTCACTCACTCACTCACTCACTCACATGTCACGTGTAAGGTGAACGACTGCCCTTGCCATTGATGTCACTGGGTATATTTTTGAAGAACTCTCACATGCTGCTGAGGACAATATTTTCTTTTTCTTCATGTCTGTTGGCCGGGGTCACATTGCATCAATGATGGAATTGCCTATGAATGTTCCAACCCGATATTTAGACACACCCTTCCCTTTGAAATGTAATTCATGAGCGTTTAACGTACCAGCAAAACATTTTCTGTTAAACACGATATAGCCCACTGAGATATTCATCAACTGCTACTTCAAGCAAATGCTTCCTGGACATATGTACGTGAAATACTATATCTATTTTTGTCACAATTACACAAATCATTTAAGATGTCAAGTTTCAGGTTCATACACTAAAACTTCAGAGAGAAGTGCGACGTTTCATATTGCAGTGAGCCGATGAGTACTTAATGTCTTGCAATATTGTAACAGATTATTTTAACTGTTTTGTTCCATTGTTCTTATTTTTATAAAATATTGTAACAGATTATGTTAACTGTTCTGTTACATATTATTTAATGTCTTGCAATAATGTCACTGATTATTTTTACTATTCTGTTACATAGTACTTAATGTCTTGAAATATTGTAACAGATTATCATAACTATTAACTATACACACAGTATTTGTTGCTGGAATATTTCTATTCATTTCTTTTGTTTGAATATTTCATTATCTGTAAGTTTTATCCAGAAATTTTATATCGCAATAAATATTTAATATGATACATTAAAGTTTTGTTCCAAGATATCAGGAAGCGTTAAATTGATTGAAATTTTTGAAACAATTTATGCAATATACATAGGCTATAGTAAATTAATGGTAATATCCTCATTCTCTATCCTCGTCACCGTATTTATCACTATTATGACCTGCTGATCCTCCCCAACTGAGTGAATGAGTGAGTGAGTTGGGTTTTAACGCCGCTTTGACATTATTCGAGTTATATCACGGCGTGTGAGCTTAATGTGGGAGGAAAGCCCAAAGTGATGCAGATCTCGGACATTTACCACTTCGGTGAAACCCACGAGCACGGGTATGGTGCTGACAATCACAGAAACATTATTGGGGCGAACCAGGATTCGAACCCACAATCATAGGTTTCTGGCGTGCCCAACGCGGTGCCTTAGATGACTGGGCCACCCCTGCCCCCCCACCCCCCAACTGGTAAGAATAGTTTCACAGTAACATAATCGTTGAATGGATTGGGTGGTCAGACTCGGTGACTTTGCTGCTTGTGAGTGAGTGAGTGAGTGAGTATGGTTTTACGCCGCTTTTAGCAATATTCCAGCAATATCACGGCGGGGGACACCAGAAATGGGCTTCACATATTGTCCCCATGTCGGGAATCAAACCCGGGTCTTCGGCGTGACGAGCGAACGCTTTAACCACTAGGCTACCCGACCACCCCTTGCTGCTTGTGTGTCATTGTAATGGCAGGGATCGTTGTGTTGGTCCTTGCTCACAATATTTATCACTTGGTTCTTGGTCCAGACTTGATGATTTTTGTGACGTTAAACAACAATCAGATGATCCTCACCATTCAACTGTTCCTGAGATTATATAACAGTTTTTCAAGAAAGAACATTGTCCCTGAAATTTTTTAATAATTTGGATGAATTAACTAATGATCAATTTTTGTTGTCCTCCCCTTCCACATTATGTTATTAATACTAACTGCCTATTTGCTCTTGTCCACTGACAATCAATAAATTGTATTTGTTCGCTTGTGTGGTTTACAGATCTTCCAACCTAATATTTCACAAATGTGGAATAAGATTAGATTTTTAAGAACAGTCATATTTTCCTTCTCGCTGAGTTTGTGAACTATAATTTCAGAAATGAAGAAACTCCAAAGGTCGGTTTTGGAAGAGACGTAACATTTCTTTCTTTTATTTTTAAATTTTGCCCATCCAAAGAACCTTTTTAAAAAAAACTGCTTTAAAAATTAAACTTTTTTTGTTTCAACCACCAAACCCTGTGAATTTAGGAAAATCTGTCATTCAAATAAATATATATCATACCTTTATTTTATGTTGTAGGATGATAACCTTCGTTACGAATCTGTTGAGATTTGAAAAAAATTGTAATGAAGATTACAGAATCTCTGATAGCTGGATCGTTGGTGTTGCTTAGATTTATGAGGTCCATAGAACTACTTGTAACTATTGATAGTGGAGATCTCCACCAATGAGACTCTGTGTTCCGGAACACATTATTAGCTCGACAATACCATAATTGTTGCTCATAAAACAATCAGAATAAACCAGTCCAGATGGCCGTCAGATTGGAACCATTATCGGACATCATAAATTTCACCAAGGCTTTTCATGGAAGGGAAAATACATATATATGTGGCCTTGATTATAGTGATTTGTCATAACAAGCACTGCGGGTGGGTAAACTGGAGCTATTTCTGTAGGGAATTGCTTGTCAATCATTCAGTGGTTAGTTCTACTTATTCTTTTGATTGCTTGATGTGTGGTATAATTGGGTTGTCCATTCTGGTAGAAAGTAGTAATGATATGTTTTCAAATATTTGTATGTGATTTGGGATTTTTGTTCTGTTTTTCTGGAACTTGACCATAAGTGAAGCATTTATAAAATGTGTGTAAATTAACATCAGAGTGCTGTGACATGTCGGTTTTGTCATTAAATATTCAATAATATGAGTGTAGTTTGTGACATCTCTTGTGAGGCAGTGGCATGATATTAGGACATTTATGATCGGCTGAAATGTTTTATGAATATCATGTGTTTCTTCTGACGAGTCAGGAATTGTGATGATGAAAACTAACAAGAAGGCTTGACACACACTTGTAATCTGTCTTTAAGAAATCGAGGATTTTCCACAAATAGTAAGTCATTGTCGCACCTCGTTAGCCAGATCAATATGTAATCTTGAAGTGATTTATTGATTTCAAGCAATACCCTTGGAGGAGGAGCAGGCGGGATTGAACAAGCGGCAGTGGTGTATATCTGTCATATACACCACGCAGGCGGCGACGGACGGCTGCTGACGCCCCACCTTACCTGCTCCTTCTATTCCTGTACACTATCAGTCCCTGACTGGCCAAGTGGCAGTGTGTGGTGGTGACGTGTCCCTCGTCATCACATAGTCATCAATCGTTACACGGAGGATCATCCTTGCATGAGGGTCTTCTACTGGAAGTGATGACCACATGATCACCATAGCAACCAAAGATCTTGGAGGCATAATATACTAACATTTAATCTGACTTACTGGCTGCAATCTCAGTTGTGTGCTGCATGTCTTGACCATTGGTTGTAGACGGAAGGGATATTCTCGGACAACTGGACAAGGCAGCTAATGATCTGTGTGTCTTGGGTTCTTGTTGACCAGATAGCCTGCCACATTAGCATTTGGTTCTGAAAAAAGTAAGTTGGCCTTTTTGCTATCTCTGTCCATTATTACTTCTATTTCAATGTACAAGTGTACTATATCAGCAGAGTCAACTAGGACCATCATATTTTTGTGCTGGATAGAAACATTTATCCATTTGATTTATATAAGGACCATGATTATCTTTCATTTTGAAAATGTAACCATGATCTGTTTCCTTAGTGTTTATGTGGTAATTTTTAACATTGAATCAGCATTATTGAACCTATTACTGTTTATTTATTCATTTTGTAATTTGGCACATATCAAGGTTATAAAATGTTAAATTTCATTGTATTATCTAAACAACTATGATACAGTAAAAGGTGACTACAATATTCACAGTATTGCAATTTTGTATCAGTTTCTAAACTTGAATTGCTTGGTAGGCATTACTTATTAGTTGACGGATGACAAAGTACACACAATTTATGGGTAACAACTTCTTTAATACTGTAAAAAGCAACGTTTCGGTATAGATTCTTATACCGTTGTCAAGCAAGACTAGATCCTTATACCGTTGTCATAAGGATCTATACCGAAAGGTTGCTTTTTACAGTATTAAAGAAGTTGTTATCCATAAATTGTGTCTACTTTAGTATCAAAACTTACTGGTTCAGTTGTATAATGTCCTTTTTATTCGATATGTTGCCGTCAATTGTATAATGTCCTTGATAATGGACATGTTGACATCAGTTGTATAATGTCCCTGATAATGGACATGTTGACATCAGTGAATCACCATTAGCTGTGGCAGAAACCTTGTACACAGATCTGATAGATAGGATCTTGGTAAGAGAAAATGTTTACCGGTTTTCTATGTCAGTGGCGAAGACAAATTAAGATAAGGCAGCTTGCTTGAAACAGGAATGTTTGATGTCAGTGTGAATTTCGGTAAATGTTGGGGTAAATGAAGGCTTAGGAGCACAGCATTGAACAGCTGATGATGATGATGATCATCATCATCATCATTATCATCATGACGATACCATGGCAAAGCGCATATGATAGATTTGTAACTTCATAAATACTGACTGACGCCCAATAATGTTGAGATGTAGTGACTGTTAGTGTTCATGAAGGCTTAGGAGCACTGCATTGAACAGATGATGATGATGATGATGATGATGATGACCTTACTCTAAAAACCATAGTTATAGAATGGCTGGATGTTATAATATCATATTGTTTGATATGACATCACTAGTTGGCCACATCACAATTGGCTGTTCACACTTTGATCTTGGACACAATGTATGGTCACACGATAGTTTGTAGCTCAGGAACTTGTGATGATACCTTGATCAAAGCGGGGTTTAGACCTGGTGTCATCGCTGATTTTCAGTGATCCATTCATATAACCTTCACTGCTATTTTGCATTACACCCAGTGGAATCAGTTACTGCAAATAATCGAGAATGAATTTCTCTGGTGTTGATGTTTTATGTTTGCAGGGTTTGTATTGATGAATGGAACTTTCGTGTCCATGTCACTTCTTGTTATGATGTACAAGATCATTGAGCTGATCAACGATAATTCACTCGTTACCCGTGGAGATTTTGGGTAAGAATATAGGCCCACAGCTACCGATGCTCGTCGTAAAACTTGTCTAAATGGATCAGGGGGTCAGACTTGGTGACTTGGTGGATAGTATGTCATTGTATCCCAGGTGTGTGGATTGATGTCAATCACCAGATTATCTGCTTGATTATTTAGGCCCCATCATATAGCTGGAATATTGCTGAGTGCAGGGTTAAACAACAAACCACACCACATACACCCGCTGATGACACCTGTTGACTGCAGCATGGCAGACAGGACAGAGGGATGGTACATTACAACACCATCCCGATCTCACTGCTGTGATCTACAGCTGTAGTACATACAGGATACATCTGATTGGCTGCAGTAATTACTACCATGGTTCGGGATTATGCAACTCACCTTCACCTTCAGTGGATCTGCCAATCTAGATGTTCAGTCTGACAACAGGGGCTCAGGCATAACCCTCCACTGTCCTTCCTCCTGGCTTGACAGAAATAGCATAACGTGAGATTGTCTCGATATCATACTACAGTTAATTCCCTTACGTCTACAATGTCGATAACCTTCAACCAGACAAAACACTGCAATAACAGCTGATAACAATCTTCCTTCTGTATAAAAAACCCAGTAAGCCAGGCCAACAGATTTTCTTGTTAAACATATTCACAATCCTGATACTTTTAATTTAAATAAAACAAACATTTTAAGGGGGTTAGTCTGTCATACAGACCCTGAAACAAATATATCAAATACTCTTTGGTGATGGCATTTTGTGTTTAGGAAATTGTATTCAAAGGCATGCTGACAACATTTGTTAGATTATAATTTCTGTCTCCCTCCCGCCTCTTGGAAATTGAATGGAAATATGTTGTGGACTAAATTTCTATCAAGATTAAGCGACAGAACCCTTTCTATATCCAATAGAAATCTCTGCATAAAGTAGAGTCTGATTTCAACCACAAAATGAGCATGTGTTTATGCATCACTATCAAATAGTCAAATCAAATACTAAAATCAGTCACTTTCATGTACTAAATCATCCAACAATAGTGATGTCATCAAATTGTGTAGTGGTGTCATAACAAGGTGTCGAGATACATTTCTGTGATGTCATAACATTTTTGAACGATTGAAAAAAAATTCAATTTGTGAAATATTGCATTTTATTTCTGCTCAAGTTTTTCTCAACTACATGTACTTTGCCAAATGGACTATGGTGCATATCTGCATGTAGCAGTATCATGTTTAATAAAAGCTCTCAAATTACCGTATTTGACGTAATAAGCGCCCGGGGTGCTCTCAAAATCAGAAATAGGGGCTCTTATTAGAATACAATTTTGGTGAGAGAAAATTGAAAGATTGTAAATTTCGTGGTTTATGCTGACAGCCTGAAATGATACAAAAGAAAAGTCTGTGCATATTATACACGACAGATATATTGTCCAGAATTTAACTGCCCATAATTAAGGGTGCATATAACACACGAGTGCGTATTATACATGAACAAATAAGTGTACATTGATCAATCGGAAGGGGTGCTAATTGGGATTGTTCATTAGCCAATATATTAGAACATATCGCTGTGGGTGCGCTTATTAGAGCTGGGCGCTTATTACATTGAATACGGTATCAGTCAGAATAGGCCCATACAGACAGCTATAATCTCTCTGTGGAAGTTAGTCAACATCTCTGAAAAAAAAAATCAGTGTTTTTCATATATGGCCATTACCGACATGAGCGTCTGAAATAGACTTATTTTTAGATTAAATTAATCTGCCTATTAAATATTTAAAGTTAATATATTTTTGTCATTTATTTCCCTAATCTGATGTTGGCTTATGTGAAGTGGAGATGTGTAATTCTGTTTTGAGCCAAACCTATCTAATCTTTCAATGGGCGGATATATTTTCCCACTTTTTGTCAGATATAAATTGTTAATTGATTTGTTAGAGATGTGGTTGTGATTTTTTTTTAAGCTAAAGCTTTCAGAGGATATGATGAGATTATACCATTAGCAAAATTTAATCATTAATGAAGTATGATTCTAGTCAAAAATACAGACTTGTGAGTGAAGTAGATGGATATGTGAGGTGTGTAAATCTAGGACAGTTGCTTGAACATCTTTCCTTGCATGAAGCTTGCTGACCTAGCTGGTGCCTCTATGTGATGAGTGAGTGAGTGAGTATATGGTTTTACGCCGCTTTTAGCAATATTCCAGCAATATCACAGCGGGGGACACCAGAAATGGGCTTCACACATTGTACCCATGTCGGGAATCGAACCTGGGTCTTCGGCGTGACGAGTGAATGCTTTAACCACTAGGCTACCCGATCGCCCCTCTATGTGATGAAATCTAGTTCCATGACTGCAGAGGTAACTCGGTTACACATATACTGACATCTTCCATCTAGTCAAAGTTTTGTGCTTCAATCTAAAAGTTTCTTTTTGCAGTATGTATTGTAGAATGTCGCATGTGCCATGTGTCTATTTGCTATATCACATGTGTCTCTGAAGTATTTGCTATATCGCATGTGTCTCTGAAGTATTTGCTGTATCACATGTGTCTCTGATGAAGTATTTGCTATATCACATGTGTCTCTGATAAAGTATTCACTTTATCACATGTGTCTCTGATGAGGTATTTGCTATGTCACATGTGTCTCTGATGAAGTATTTGCTATATCACATGTGTCTCTGATAAAGTATTCACTTTATCACATGTGTCTCTGATGAGGTATTTGCTATGTCACATGTGTCTCTGATGAAGTATTTGATATGTAACATCTGTCTCTGATAAAATATTCACCATATCAAAAGCATCAAAATGTACCGTATCAGATACGTCTGATGAAATAGTTGCTGTGTCACATGTTTAAAATGAAGTAACATAACTCGAAATAGCCACTGATGGCCCTCCGATCGAGCCCAGAAATTTCAGCCCTGTTCGGCAAGGATGGAAACTAAACTTTTATAGTCAGTTAACACCCTTGCCTCAGGAAGATGGTGATGAAGCATTTACTTTAAAAAATCACCACCTTTTCCAATCCTGTTCTCCCACTTCAGCAAGACATCATGTAGCATACATTTGATTACAAGTCTGACAGGAAGATACTGCTGAATACTTGAGCTCATCATTTCCCAAAACTTTTTTGAGATTTGGGCAATAAAACACTAGATCAATGTATTGATGTTGCCACCACTGAACAGGAGTAAGCCTGGCATTTGTGAAGACGTCATCATCCAGGCTTTGCAGATACAGGAAAGGGTGTGTAATTAGCTTGGTGGAGGCGATTCAGCAGCAAGAATTGATTGGACATTTCTCAGATACCTAATGCAAAAAAGAAGGGTAGTCACAGTTATTTTAGGGAACATTTCATTTAAAACGGACACCCTTGTTAGGTTGGTTCGGACACTTATGGATTTATGTCAGAGGTTAAGACGAGGCGCCCATGGAGCTCGCAAGGTGTGTGTCTTGCCAGTAGTTGTTGCCACTGTATTTTATAAATCCAATCAGGAAATGGGCCAAATTGGCTCAGGCAACTCTTTAGAAATTTGCCAATCCTTGTTCAGGAAAAACTATTTCATCCCACTTTAATTCCAGTTATTCCTAATTCTGGAATTACCTTGTGAAATAGGGTTTTTATCATTGTCAGATGAATTTATCATCATTTTCATGTTGATTCCTATCAGGCTGGTTTTGTGTAGTTTGACATCAGTGGGTAAGAAAATTGGAACAGAATATTCAATACCATGATAATCAGATAAGCGATAGCAGATGTATTAGATAATGTCTTTTTGGGGGGATTTAAATGAAGATGTGTCAGTTTTATACAATTATTCATAATGTGATAGTTGGCCAAGTGTTTAAGGTTCTGCAATTTGTTCATTCGCCCCTTTCCATAACCTGCAAGAAGACTCGTCCCCCTATCGATAAATGTTATGTGCGAAAATACGACAAACCAATCAGAATGCGTGTATTATTTCAAGTTCTTCGCCAGAGTATCCCTCAGAAATAATTTAAATCTAATCTAAAAATATACCCAAAACAGAGTTAAATGTGTTCAATCACACTGTATAAATTTGTATGTCCCGATGTGCTTTAAATTGCATCTAAAATATATATATAATATATGGGGAAATATATGTGAACCATTCCGCAATGAGTTGACAATTGTTTTAGGTATGTCCGTTTGCGCAAAGACGGAGCCTTGTCGAATAAATGGCACAAAAAACTATTTTCTTTCTACATGTGATATGACCAAAAGATACAGTGAAGTTGTGTTAACTCTATCAATTATTTTGCGGAGCACAATACCCATATTCGTGGGTTTCACCAAAGTGGTAATCACCTAAGGCCTGTATCTGTTCAGGGTCTGTTAAGTTTTGTTGAAAATAGCACTTACAGGGCCTAATTAATTCATCATATATTTCCACCTGCTTGCCTCACACTTCACATGACTGTATTTTCTTCAAGTACCTAGACATAGAAAACATGTGTATTCACTGATTTCTTTACTTGATAAATGATAATAATAATAAGGCTATTTGTATAGCGCAAAATCCACATCACTGAGGGACATGCTCAATGTGCAAATTCAGCATATGTACACACATAGAACAGAGAGGGAACAGTAAGATAGTTAAAATATACACATTCAGTTGTATTGTTCAAAAAGGTATGTTTTGAGTTCAGATACACGATTCACATGTTTCTACAAACATTCATGTTTCATGTCAATCACATCCATTAATGCAAACAGATCACAAATCTGCTTACAAAAAGTTAAAACATACAACAAAACAGAATGTCTATCTTATGTTTTTAAAATTCTTTGATGTTATTCAAATTATGAAATTCTTTTTGCCTTACAAATGTGTTTTGTCTTGAGTACAAAGTGAGTTCATTGACAAAATTCAAACCTTCCTTGAGACATGAAACAGGAGATCAATGAAGAGGGCACAGTTAGTGTTTTATCTTTCAATTATTCACAACAAAACAAACCTCAGACCCAGACAAACACTGAAGTAATTCTGAATATTAGCCAGTACAAAATGATCTGTGAAGTGCTGGAATATTCAAAACATACTTGGTAGTTTCTAAATATCCAAGAAATCAATGAAGCTATTCTGGTGGGAAGTGTATTTTCCTGGCTGGAGATTGAGGAAGCAAGTTGATATTTACAGATCCATTAGACCAAAGTTGTCAGTAAGAAATAACATTCTGCAAGGCTATTGTTATATGCTATGATGGCGTTTACCGTGATTGCCAGTGACGACATTCATTCCTCAGATAGTGCTCCACATAGCAGCAAAACACCGATGTTATTTATAGCTTCCCCAGGAATTCTGGTCTCGGGAGCAGAAAATAGCAACATATTGAGCTATATTTGGAACTCTGGAGACGAAAATGGCATCTGATCGCGTTATAAATAGTCATTGTGATATAAATAACTGCTAATGATATACAAGAAATCCCTGTCAGTTTCGCATACAGTCGAACCGATGACAGACGTCCGGAGAGGCTATT